CACGCACGCACACGCGCGTGTATCCACGCACGCACGCACACGCGTGTGTATCCACGCACGTACGCACACGCGCGTGTGTGTGCGTGCAGCCGTGCAGCTACTTGGTCTCTCCTTAGGCTATATACAAAGCATCGGGAAAACTCCGCCGCGGAAGCCGCAAAAGGTGCTAACTGAACCAGTAAGACAAGCGATTTTTAATATCGCACTAGAAGCCGGAAAAATAGTTCTTCCGTTGTGTTCACGAAAAAAATAAATTGTTGTGAATAATCGAAGGTTAAATAGAAACGCATTCAACGCTCGCGACGCGTGAAAAGAACGTTACACTATTTGTCATAGGAAGATTCTTCCTATGACAAATATAGGCGAGTCAACTTCGAAACAACGCCGCTTTACAACTGAAATTCACTGCTTGCGTTCATAATAGCGATCCTAAACTCCTATGATGCGCACAACACATACAACAATATCTGTCATAGGAAGAATCTTCCTATGACAAATAGTGTCATAGGAGAGCGTATATGCGTATGTCGTATTTGTCATAGATGCAAGCAGAACATGTTGGAACACGCGTTAACACACCACGGTAGGTCAACCGAATTTCTCGCACTAACGGAAACGGATACACGTCACGCGCCACCGAGCGGCACGTGATTCAAGATGGCCGATTTGGATCTATGAGTCAGCGTATAAGCTCCCGTGTCTTTGCCGCATTACGCAGCTTGTAAACGTAAAGCTTAACATCGGTGCAGAAATTAATTATTTATCATCAGAAAGGCGTTCGAGCTAACCAGGAAGGATGCTGAAACGTGCAGCCGCTCAACCACCTAACACGCTTACAACTCCACGTATAGTCACTCTTATTCGCAATTGTCGGGTTCATTCGACCTCTCCTCTGCGGGTTGAAATCCGACCAAAGTGAGACGAAAAAAGAGAGATTGAGATAAATTCGGATTGGGATCGCTACGGCTCTCCGGGTTGCATCCGAGCCAGGTTGCATCCGAGCCAGATTGCATCCGAGCCAGATTGCATCCGAGCCAGATTGCATCCGAGTAGACTGACCAGAAGCGGATCCGGGTAGAGTTGCTGTAATAGTGTTAAGAATAGGGTTATAGTTAACGCGGCTAACATACGAAACTTACTCGGTGTGACCACCTCACACACAGAAACACGCACGCACTCGCACACACACATGCACGCACAGACACACACGCGCGCGTGCACAGTCACGCACGCACACACACGCACACACACACGCGCACACGCACGAACCCACGCGCGCACATGTACGTACGCAGGCACGCACGAACGCATGCACGCCGGCACTCATCTTAAATAGGGTAGGATACCCTTTCTCGCCTTTTTTACGATGACGCGGGAACGACAAAATCCTCCCTCGACAACGACAAAAACTACGCCTCAGGGTGGTTAAGGGGGCAGTTTTCCCCACCCCAGACCGACGTACATGCTATCAGGAGTGAATAATAATAGATTTAATCTATTATTATTTCTCCTGATAGCATTACATGGTCAATGGCCGTTAACTGCCCACGGTCAACCACCGAGCACGCACAAACCGAATGCGTCGTTACCCCCCCCCTCCGCCAAAGAAGCTGAGTTGGCTACGCCCCTACGCTCATACAGCCTGCTGAAACCCGACGCATATTATTGACGTGATTAATAAAACTATATATCGTTAGCGGAGAGCCGCTCGTACGTATGTACGTAGATCGTGTATCAGGTTATATGTGTATTTCGTTGTAAACGTTGAAAACGTGAAGAAAAAATCCTAGCTCGTAATATTCGGAACAGAATTACTGCATAGGCCTATATGCAATTACTCATGCCGTGTTTTTGTACGTTTTCGCTTTATTCCGTTGCGATTGGGTTAAGGGCACACACACACGCACGCACGCACGCACACAGAGACATGCACGCGTGCGCGCGCGCCAACCACACGTGAGGTTTTCGTATAGACTTGTCATGTTACACTCTCTAATAATCAGTTAAGAATATCATGTTTTCTAATGAGATATTCTTGATATATTTTATGAACAAGATAATGCATATTAAATATATTTAATTTCGTTCTACTGCTATTTAAACGCGAACTTCTCGTGTTTAATTGTATTGTAACACAGTTTAGTACACAGTTACTGAGTAACTTCATGTTGTTGTTTTTTGGGTTAAATTTCAAAGATGTACAAAATAATGTTACGGGCAACTGATGGTTGGCACCCGTTCCCACGCAAAGAGCGGCTAAGCCACCGCCAAAACAATAGCCTACTTAGCTCCTGTATACAACGCGTAAAGGTCAGGACAGCGTCGCTCTTTCATCATGCCAGGAATTAATGACGATGATCACTATTTTGGAGGGATTTACATTCGAAACAGTCTCAGGCACAACGCGTCTGCGTGCGTTCATAAAACACGGAAACACCACGTGCACGCCGTTGGGGCGATCGACCGTACGCGTTGCAATGGCGGTCGTGACGTCGGCACGGCGTGGCATATCCTACCGTGTTCACAGACAACGATGGTGACGACCCCACGCACGTACGCGCGCACGCATACACGCACGCCTACACTCTCTCTCTCTCTCTCTCTCTCTCTCTCTCTCTCTCTCTCTCTCTCTCTCTCTCTCTCTCTCTGCCGGACGGAGTTGCGACGCGACCACCGTTTGGCTATAGTCGGTGTGAAAAGAGCGTGTAACATTATTATTGTATGTGTACCATTACACGTACACACGCAAATACGCAGAGAAACATGCACACCGTTTCGTTATGTGTGTATACAGATAGCTATATACGCGTGTGCGTTGAAGTCAGCGTTACGTAGCGTTATATCAAGAGTCTATCAAGGGTTATATCAAGAGCATATAAAGAAGGTATTCTTTATATGCTCTTGGTTTTATCAGGAGTAGATAATAGAGATTTATATTATCTACTCTTGGTTATATTAGGAGTGTATAATAGGGACCCTATTATACCCTCCTATTATACCCTACTATACCCTATTATTCCATTATACCCTATTATACCCTATTATCTACTCTTGGTTATATGTATGCATGTCAGCATGCAGCCATCACGCCATACTTGTGCGATTTAGTTACACGCGGTCGTGTCATCAATACCGCAGCACGCCGATGAATTCCCAGCTCGGCGAACTAGCTATACATATTCTGATATAGAATCAAGCATTGGGAATTGTCATGCCTGAATTGACCCAAATATCACTGGCACATCGGGTCCTGCACTGCATAGATAACGATGCAGTAATAGGATATCATTGATTTTTCCAGCCTGAGGGCGTGACATCGTGTGTGTTTGATGCCTTGATAACTCTAACCAAAGTGACCATTTCATATAGACACTCAGCCATCTTTGTAATTGTCTAATTTTTATCTAAAAATCACTTGCCATTAGGCGACATAGATTTGAAAAGGCGCGATAGACCTTTGTACTTTTTGCACCTATGTGGTGCGAAGTCTCGTGACTTCAAGAATCAATCGATTTTTGATTGGTTTTGCGCTTATATTAACCTTAAAGAAATCACTGACTCGACGATAATTAACATGGAGGATCGATATAATTAGGTCACGCTGTGAACACTTTATAGTGACGACTACTCTTACCATGTAAATGCCAACCTCATCGATATTGATATTACCAAGAGTGCATAATAGAGAGCATAGAATCTCTATTATGCACTCTTGATATTACGTGTAAATAACGTATTTGCCGATTATGCGCAAAATCATCTAGTGCTCAAACTACTAGTGTCCATATCTATGTACTTCACGACCAAAGTTGAAAGTACGATCGATGGTCGATCCGCAAGTTTCCGCTCCTTCTTAGTTATTCCCAGTGTTTTCGATATTTCAGGAATCTCTCTAGTCTGGTTGAAGAGAGTCATGAATACATTTTTCAGTGACAGCGTTCGCTTTTTGCGTCGAAGCACCAAACCGATATAAAAACAAGTTGTAAATATTACTAGTCAGTATAACTGACCTATAGGCATTTTGAAGATGCTGTATATATAGCAGCATATCGACGCCGATAAAACTAGAAACGAAGCTCTCACAATATAGTACCAATTATGATCATATATATCAAGAGTACCATAATAGAAAATTTCTATTGAAGATTATATACAAGAATTATATATATATATATAAAAGCATATCGACGCCGATAAAACTAGAAACGAAGCTAAAGGTACGCACACACACTAATACAAAGGTACGCACACACACTAATACGAAGGTACGCACACACGTACGCACACATGAACAACAGCGAGCTGTCGCTGAGAAAACCTTCGCCTGTGTCTATATACCCGCAGTGATATAACGTGGGGGCAAATAAGCTCGCGGTAAGTTAAACAGGCCACCGCTGATTGGATGCCGATTACGTCACCGCATCTTTCCTCGGGCCTGCTATCCATCAAGGGGCGGCTATTCGAGACATTTACCTAAGCGTTTACATGTGCCCATGTTGTACAGTATTAACATGAGCATGAGCCAAGCTTGTCCCTTCACTTTGGGCATTCTTGGCAATAGAATCTGCTCTGATAGAAAGAAAAATTCATATCGCTGACGAATATGTCTGACATTATAGCTATAAAATCTAATTTACGAGTTTAGGAAGACGCCCTTGAGCAGATGTAGAGACTGCGTGAGACCGTGGGACGCTCGTATTAGTATTATGATTACTAATCATTGTGATCAATACACAAACAAGTATTTGTATATATGAAAACACATAATTAAGTATATGCTTTAAAAAATATTAAATACGATGTTTTACCGCGAAATACGAGCTCGTGCCTCAACTTACGCGAATACCGCAAGAAATATCTGTGTGTTACGGATATCTGGTATGTGATCAAAGGAAGGGTGCCCTCTGTTGGAGCGATGATATAGCCCTCCCCCCTCCCCAATAATTAGTGCTCCCTGCTTCCTGCGCTAGATAGACCTAAACCTAGCCCCGCCAGTACGCACCCACAGTACAGTACAGTACATTACAGTAGAGTAGAGTAGAGAAGAGTACAGTACAGTACTGCGCAGTACAGTACAGTACAGTACAGTACAGTACAGTACAGTACAGTACAGTACAGTACAGAACAGTACAGTACAGTACAGTACAGTACAGTACTGTACAATACAGTACAGTACTGTACAATACAGTACAGTACAGTACAGAACAGTAGAGTGCTAAGAAGACTGCACGCGGTGCAGACACCTACCACTGCGTTCCATATCGGGCTGATGTGCTCCTTGTCGCGCGACACCAGAGCGGCGTAGTTCGAGTAGACGATGTAAGGAAGCCAGCAAAGGATGAAGCAGAAGAGCACGAGCAGCAGCGTCATCGTGATGCGCTTCTGCTGCTCGATGACGTGGTCGGGGTCCATGTGCGTGTGCTGCTTCAGGCGCGCCGAGTGGCGCCGAATCTCGCGGAAGATGCCAAAGTAGCAGTAAATCATGATCGCCAACGGGCAGGCGAAGCAGGTGATGGTGACGAACAGCGAGTGAGCTTTCTCGCGCTGCGTGCGTGGGATGACGGGCCCGCACTGCATCGCCCCGGGTTTATACCCGGCCGTCGTCCACACGAACAGCGTTATGCCGACGACGGCCGCCCACGCCCACACGCAGACGATCATGGCTCCGATGCGACGCGGCGTCATGAAGCGACTGAACGGTCGCGTGATTGAGATGTACTTGTGCAGCGAGATGTACATGAGCGTGTGGATGGAGGCGATGAGAAAGAACGCCATCGTGAAGGCGTTGAACATGCAGAAGTTGCGCGAGAACGTCCACGTTCCGCGAACGACCGTGTTGGCGCTGAATGGCATGACGAGCACGGCGACGAGCGCGTCGGCGACGGCAAGGTTGACGATGAACATGTTCGTGCGCGTGCGCATGCCGCGGTGCCGCAGCACGGTCAGGATGACCATCACGTTGCCGAAGAACGCCATCGTGATGAAGACGACGATGAGCGTCGTGAGGATGACCTTGGCTGGCAGCGACAACGTCGCAAGGTCGTCGCTTAAGGTCGTCGCGTTCGCGGCGCCCTCCGGCGGCGTCGACCACCACAGGTCGGTGGTGCCGCTAGGTGGCGCGCTAGACATCGTCGTCGTCGCCATCGACATCGGCTCGAAGGGCGTCACTATGGTCATTTATGAGCCGATGGTGGCGCCTCCTGTTTGCGCAGGTGGGGGCGCCACTAACAGTATGCGAGTGTATATGTGTGCGTATGTATGTGCGTGCGTGCGTCTGCGTGTGTGTGCGCGCGCGCGTGTGTGTTCGTGCGTGTGTGTGGGTTTGTATGGGTATTGTTTAGCCAATAGAATTCTTACGCTCTGGTGCCAATATATGGCTGGGTGCATCAGCCTACATCGCCACGCCCTCTAGTGGGAGTCAGCTGATCGACGATAGCATCAATCTTCAGCAGCGACGAACACACTTATTCACAGATCGACACATGCGGGCGTCCACAACAACACACCATCTAACACCGGCCGAAATTATCGTCTGCAGCGACGACGGCGATGACGATGACGACGGCGATGACGATGACGCTGACGATGACGATGACGATGACAACGCCCTGTTGCCGGTCGAATCAAGACATTTTCCCGCCGAAGAAAACTCCTCGTTCGTCTGCGGGTTACGCTCGCTCGTGACGCTTAACCGCAACGTGGGCGTTCAGTGGATCCAGCTGACTGCAAAACAAACCAGACGATAAAAAAACTATAATATTACGGGGTGCGCTGTTTTACTGGCGGGTAATAGAGTAACGAGGTTCGCGCATATGCAGAGCAGTCAATCACGTCAGGTAGTGAGTGAGAGAGTGAGTAAATGAGGGAGTGAGTGAGTGAATTAGTGAGAGACAGACAGGGAGAGGCAGAGAGAGGGAGAGGGAGAGAGATCCCTCACACCCTCCATGTAACGCTTCGGCGAGGCGGAGAAGAGGAGAGGGAGGGAGGAAGGGAAAAAGAGAGAGAGAGAGCGCGAGAGAGAGATAGATAGAGAGAGAGAGAGAGAGAGCCAGAGAGAAAAAGAGACAGAGAGAGAGCGAGAGAGAGAGAGAGAGAGAGAGAGAGAGAGAGAGAGAGAAGAGATAAGAGAGAGAGAGAGAGAGAGAGCTGCGAAATAGGAGAAAAAGTGATAGATAAAGATACTCCGTGCAGTTATGTATGGACGTCACGCGTTCAAGAAGCGAGAACAGACGCAACATGTTTAAATTATACATTTTTAGCGCATTACGTTATTTAAATTTACATGTTTATTTAAATGCAAACGCAGAGAGTGACCTCGTCGGTAGGTCCGCTGCGCGCGCTGTCTCTCTCTCGCTCATCTCTCGCTCCTCTCACATCTCTCTCTCTCTCTCTCTCTCTTCTCTCTCTTCTCTCTCTCTTCTCGTCCCCCCCCCCCCCTTTCTCGTCTTCTCTCTCTCGTCTCTCATCTCTCTCTCCTTTCTCTCTCTGTCTCTCGTCTTCTTCTCTCATCTTTCTGGCCATGTCTCTCCTTCTCCCGCCCCCTCCTCTTCTCCTCCTCTCTCTCTTCATATCTCGGCTCTCTCTCTCACACAAGTGTGCAACACTCTCATTCTCTCTCATCTCATCTCTCTCTCACTCAATCTCTCTCTTCTCCTCTCTCTCTCTTCCTCTCGCTCTCTCTCCCTCTTCCTTATTCTCTCTCAGCGCCGTTTTTCTTATTGCTAGTGTTGCGACTTTCTCTCTTTCTCGATCTCTCTCTCCTCTTTCTAACCCCCAACCTCATTTTCCCTCTCAGCTCTCTCACTCTTTTTGTCTCTATCCTTCACAACACTTCCAGTAACAGCTTCAAATATGTGGAAGCAGACCCTTTCTCACTGATCCTTTTATATATCCTACTGTCCGGAGGGTATAGTATAATATTATATATAATATATATATATAATATATATATTATAAATAATATAATATTATAATTTATATAATATAAATATAGGGGCGTGTATGGTGGTGTGTGCTGTGTGTGTGTGTGTGTGTGTGTGTGTGTGTGTTGTTTGTGTGTGTGTGTGTGTGTCGTGCGTTTTTTTGCATGTGTGATGGTGTGTGTGTGTGTGTCGTGATGTGTGTGTGTGCTGTGTGTTGTGTGTGTGTGTGTGTTAGTGTGTGTGTGTGTGTGTGTCAACTGTTATTGTTTCCGTCTAGAATGAACTATAACGTCTCCCCGCCGGGAGCCCGGTGATCAATGTCACAATACTGCGACAGATGGCGCTGCATTTTTAATTAAATCTGAGCATATATATATATCGATACGACATTCCTTGATTGTCGCCTCACGTGGAAGGCGTCGACACATAGCGTTTCCTGCTGCATACCACTTATTACACGAGGCTCCGGTTAGTATGTTAATAAAGGCGTGAAACCCTTGGTGAGTTGGTTGGTTAGTCCTGCGCGCCCAATTATAATACGAGAGCTCACTTTTCGCACTGCGATAACGAGTTATTACCGTTGTTCCGGTTCGGCTAACCGAACCTGCGGTTGCATAGGTCGCATTCGCGTGTGGGTGCGCCGCGTGTGGAGTGTCGGTCAATATGCCCACTACGCCTTCACAATGCGCCCCCCCCCCTCTCTCTCTCTCGCTCTCTTCTGCTCTCTCTCTCTCTCTCTCTCTCTCTACTCTTCTCTCTTTAATCTCTCTCTCTCGTTCTTCTCTTCCTCCTCTCTCTCATCTTCTCTCTCTCTGCTTCCTGCGGACGACGAGTTGCGACGCGCACCACCGTTTGGCTTATAGTCGGGTTGAAACAGAGAGTGGTAGACATTATATTGTATGTGTACCATTACACGTAGACACACGCAAAATACGCAGAGACAACATGCACAAGGGCCGTTCGTTATGTGTGTATGACAGATAGCTACCGCGTGTGCGTTGAAGTCAGCGTTACGTAGCGTTAATATCAAGAGTCTATCAAGGGTTATATCAAGAGCATAAAAGAAGTATTCTTTCTATATGCTCTTGGTTTTATCAGGAAGTAGATAATAGAGAATTATATATCTACTCGTTGGTTTATGTATGGCATGTCCAGGACATTTGACCATCACGCCATACTTGTGCGATTTAGTTAGCAACGCTGGTCGTGTCATCAATACCGCAGCACGCCGATGAATTCCCAGCTCGGGCGAACTAGCTATACATATTCTGATATAGAATCAAGCTTGGAATTGTTCATGCTTGAATTGACCCCCCAAAATATCACTCGGCACACTCGGGCTCCTGCACTGCATTAGATAACGATGCAGTAATTAGGAATATCATTGATTTTTTCCAGCCACTGAGGCCTGGACATCGTGTGTGTTTTGAATGCCTTTGATAATAACTTAACCAACAGTGACCAATTCGATATAGACACTCAGACCTCTTTGCTAATGTCTAATTTTAATCTAAAAATCACAATTGCCATTTAGGCCGACATAGATTGAAAAGGCGCGATAGACCCTTTGTACTTTTGCCACCTATGTGGTGCGGAGTCTCGTGACTTATCAAGAATCAATCGATTTGCATTGGTTTTGCGTTATATTAATAACTTAAAGTAAATCACTGACCGGACGATAATTAACATGGAGGATCGATATAATTAAGTCAACGCTATGTGAAGCAACTTTATAGTGGAACGACTACTCTTTTACCATGTAAATGCCAACTCATCGAATATGATAATTACGTGTAAATAACGTATTGTGCCGATTATGCGCAAAATCATCTAGTGCTCAAACTACTAGTGTCCATATCTATGTACTTCACGACCAAAGTTTCCAGAATTGTACGATCGATGGTCGATCCGCAAGTTTCCGCTCCTTCTTATTATTCCCAGTGTTTTCGATATTTCAGGAATCTCTCCTAGTCTGGTTGAAGAGGAGTCATGAATACATTTTTCAGTGAACAGCGTTCGCTTTTTTGCGTCGAAGCACAAACGATATAAAAACAAGTTGTAAATATTACTAGTCAGTATAACTGACCTATAGGCATTTTGAAGATGCTGTATATATAGCAGCAGGAGTAAGATAATATAGATTAATCTATATTATCTTACTCCTGCTAGCAGCATATCGACGCCGATAAAACTAGAAACGAAGCTCTCACAATATAGTACCAATTATGATCATATATATCAAGAGTACCATAATAGAAAATTTCTATTGAAGATTATATACAAGAATTATATATATATATATAATCTTGACGATCACAACGACATGTTATTGTCATCATAACTTCACTTTCAGATGATCGAAACGTGACACAAAACAAATAATCAATCTCTTGACGGTGTAGATATAGATCTGAAATGGGTTGACCTGGCTCTGCCTGCGCCCCACTGCAAAGCAGCTAGCGTAATCAATCTAATAATCTTATAGCTGATATATTTACAGCTGATGATGTTACATGATATCGTGCATGTGTGTGTGCGGGCAAAAACAATCACTGAACGTCTCTAGAGAGAAAGAGAGAAAAAGAGAGAGAGAGAGCGAGAGAGATAGAGATAGATAGAAGGAGACAGAGAGACAGAGAGAGAGAGGAGAGAGAGAGAGAGAGACAAAAAAGAGAAGTAGAAAGAGAGCGAGAGAGAGAGAGAGAGAGAACGAGAGAGAAAGAAAGAGAGAGAGAGAGAGAGAGAAAGAGAAAGAGAAAGATAGAGATAGAGATAGATAGAAGGAGACACAGAGAGAGAGAGCGAGAGAGACAGAGAGAGAAAAGGAAAAAACACAGAGAGAGCGCGCGCGCAAGAGAGAGAGAGAGAGAGAGAGAGAGAGAGAGAGAGAGAGAAAGAGAGAGTGAGAGAGAGCGAGAGAAGAGAGAGAGAGAGAGAGAGAGAGAGAGAGAGAAAGAGAGAGAGAGAGAGAGATGATGATGTGTAAAGGTGGGCGCACATGTTTGACACACGGTATACGTACTCCTTTATTATAATACAGGCCGGGCGTACCGCATACATACACACACAGTGATGCACGCACGTGCGCACTCACGCACGGTCCGCCTGAATTCTAGCTTTAGAACTATAGCCCTTCGCTCTGCCACAGGCCTGTGGCGGAGCGTATAGGGCTATAGTTCTAGAGCTACCTGAATTCCTAAACAGTTACAGTTATATATTTACCGATGCGAAGTTCTCTGCCGTCAGAGTTTATGTCGCTCCTACCGCTAGCAATCTTTCCACGTTTATGTCGCCGCTACAGACTTTGAAGAGCAAGTTCGGCTGCGCGTTCCCACAGGTGAGATTCTCACAGGTAAAATCCAACGTGTTTGAAACTCTATTAACTATGAATCGCACGTGTACGCGACAGAGCTAGAACTCTTTGTCATAGGCTCACGTTAGTTGACACCTATGTGCACGTCATATGCTTATAACCGATGTCGCCCACGCGTCCGCCTGTCGCTGACGTCACGGCCCGCGCATGCGCACACAAACGTTTCGCGTGGATGGACCGCCTTCGTCCACTCGTGTGTCCATGCCTCCCTCTGTGCACTTGACCGATACAACGAGCTACAGCCACTAACAGCCTCAGCCACTAACAATGAAAGCTAGGTTCGCCAGTGTCGGATGTGACGTCATGATGCTCACACCCAGCCATTGGTCAAGCGACTGTCTCCGTTAACGACAGCGTCGTCAATATTTGTAATCAAGCATCACTCCAGAGGCATATTAATCACACAGATGGGCCAAAGTCATTACTTAGACCTTGCAAATCAACTTAATTATTCATGCAACATTATTATTTATTTTTACACCTCTCCCCCGTGAGCATTATCGCCTCGAGGAGGAGGTCGCCACATGACGTAACGCCGTAGCCACACGTGCACGACCCACAGCTGTATAGTTCACACCCAATTACGCGGGAGAGTATACGTAATGGTGATGCTGAGGGGGTGGGTCAGGGCAACCGACCCCTTCCGGGAAGACGTTACGTGAGACTAATGCACCCGCGCGGACAAGCGTAAACAACGTGATCCAGTGCGATAATGTTAGGGTAGGCTGACGCAAGATGCGGGATAACTGGATGGTTATTGCTGACAAAGCAGTAATTACGGCCGAAGGTGGCAGAGTCTATTAGGTGCGGCTAACAATGGAGCCGTCCGTATAAGGACTGGTTATCAGCCGTAATAGAAAAGGTTCTATTGTGGACTCTTGATTATATATACCGAGCGTTGCGCGCTAATATGCGGCTTCATCCTCATCACCTAGCTCGCATACATGTACATTTACAGATATGTGCCGGATATATAGATACTTAAGTTACACGCGAAAAGTTATCCGTACTCTCTCGTGATGCATTCTAAAATGACGAGTACGAATATTACGAAGTATGATTATTAGAGATGCAGCGTTTAATTTCGCAAAGATCCGCAACGCGTTGCGAGAAATTCTGCGAAAACTGTTCCCTAATTAATAAGTTAAGGTGGTCGAGATCATAAGGATAATGAATGGAGGCACGACACTTAATTACGAGTAGGTACGAGTTCTTAGGCGCGAATAAAACTACGTTCGTACTCTAGGCGCGTTTAACACTCGCGTATCGGTTTACTGTCGACATCTGTACTGTTTGTGTGTCGCCAGCTATACCACGTATTATCGTCTGCCTACGTGACCGGAACTCTAATCGACAAAAAAGTGCGATTTATTTTCGAAGCATGTGCTGACAGAACTGCCACACAGCTTGGCACACGGTGTACGAGATGCGGAAAGAGACGACTGAGATCGCCAGCGTATAGAAGCAACGGTGAAGTGTTCGCTATACCCAGGATGTCGTGTCGCTTCCGATGTTTGTTATCTCGAGTCGTCACCGGATTTTTTCTGTCATCAATCGTCAATCGTAACTCGTTATAACTATTAGAAAATTTCACCCCGCAAATAGAAAATAGCAAATTGCGCGAATTTAATTAGATTTCGTTGCCGCTAATAATCTCGCGGTTGCCCTGGGCGATATCACAGGCACTTGGAGCGTTTCAATATGACAGTGTAATGACACAATATATTTATGTGTCAGTGTGCAGCGGCAGCCAACGTTTGTTGCAGATAAGCATTTGGACGGCATTTACAGGAAATTGTCGGCAATAATAGGTGAAAGAAAGTATAGAAACATTAAGACTTTGGTAATAAATAGATTTCGTATTTATTTAGCCTTATATTTTATTGAAACGCTCCAAGCGCCTGTGGGCGACCTGGCCGAGCGATTTCATTTATGATGTTGATTTATCTCGTCTGATTTTCATTTATGATGTTTATCTCGTTGCTTCGCGTCTAGGTGGTGTAGGCTACAGCAGTAGACGGGACAGGTATATAGCAGGCTTGAATAAGCATCGAACAAAAATTAATTAAAAATACTCACACTGTTTCGTCGTATACACAACATACGCTTTATTCATGCTATATAACCACTGATTCCAGCTTTATTCTCCACTCGAAACTTTTGCCTGCTAAACGATGCACATTTCTACAAAATAGTCGGATCCCGTTTCAAACACAAAATGGCCGCCCGGTTACCGTGGATACGCCACTTGGATACACGACAAGACCAATCTTACTCCTTATGTCTTCTAGACGTTCACGAGGCATCTATCCTGCGTGCATAATGCAAATTAGTGCACTCTAGTGCCGAATTTTACCGGAAAAAAAAATAAAAAGAAGACTTTTTCTAGGAACCAAATAGTGCAACGGTGAAAAATTTGCGGAGGGTTACTGTTGTATGCCCCCTCTACGGCAACATGGGTGAAATGCCCTGGTCATTATAGCAAGTTTATTGATATCCTTTCTTACTCCCCTCTCCCTCTCGTCTCCCTTCCCTGTCTAGCGCGCGCTCTCTCTTTCTCGATTTCTTTCACTCTCTTCCTCGATAACATTAAACATCACGCACTTTATTTCGATTGATGAAATTTTGCTTTGTATACTTCAACATATATTACTGCGGCCGACAGTTCCATAGTGCCTGTCGTAATATTTTAACCTCATATGATTCAATTGGAATCGCGCGCGAGCATTTCTCCCGAGACAGCGCACTCTACCGGCCGAACCGCAATGCAAATGAGGAAGCGATAGACGATGACGCTTGCGGTGTTCGGTTTTGATGAGGAGTGGGGGTACATATTATACGGACCAGAGCACCCGATGCCTATATCGGTGGACGCATGCGTACGGGATGCCAATAGAGATCCGTGATTGCACTACGCGACCTACACTGATAGTTCCTTTGAACCGCTGTAAATGAACTCTTGTTCGTAATTTTATTGACAGTGAAGTGAGCTAAGTGAAGCTACGTCGACATGCAGTCACATCCGCGGGGGGTTTCATCAGAGGCGTCGCTCTGTGTCAAGACGGTGCCATGCTGCCAGACACTGATTACATGAGATGGGTAGCCGGCAAACCTCCGTATAGGACATAGCGTGTGTACTCTGGTCAGCAGAAATGTTGGAAGCGAGAAAGAGAGCTAGCAACCGAGAGGGAGAGAGAGAGTAATACACGCGTGCGCAGGCGCGTGTGGCGTTGCTGTGTGTGGCGATTGGGGCTTTCAGTACACACGAACTAATAATGATTTCGCTAATACATCGATGGAGCAGATACGCTAACTGCGTATGCCTGCGTAAAAGCTCTCACATTTCCCCCGCGTAAAATTGTTTATAAATAAAATCAGGGAAAATAAGGAGTGAGCAATATTGACGCGCGCGTGTGTTTTTTTCAATATGCAGCACAACATGGTCTGCATGTTACTACTGCGTACGTGAATGTGTGCGCGGAAGGAGAGAATAGAGATGTCGTGTGTGCATAGTGCCCGTGTACCGTGTGGCGTGCACGAACGCACAGTGTCGAGTTCGTGGTGTGTGCGTGCTAGTATGCTGTAATGCGTATGTGTAGGTGGCGCGTATGCCCGTGTGGCGTGCACGAGCGCTTGTGGGTGAGTGCGTGTGTGCGCTGTACATATTAGTGCAGTGTTGCGTTGGTTGTAGCGTGTAAGTTGTAGGAGTGCGTGTTGCGTGTGCGTGTAGTGTATGTATGCGGTTTGATGTAGCTAGGTTGCGGTGTGCGCGCGTATATAGTGTGGCGTGTAGTAATTCAGTTAATATTGTGGGTAAGCGCTACGGAATGTTTTCCGAACACGTTGAGTTCCGGACTCACCATAGATAGTGTTTTGTAATATAGGTTCGTATATATGATGGTGTGGATTCATAGTTAAGTGTTACGGTCCGGTACAGATTAGTGTTAGGGTCTAGGGTATGATAGGTGGTATTCATTTTACATTGTTGCTTGCGAGAAGTCGAGTGAAATGGAGTGCGCTGATTGCTGTGGTCGCGGACTCAAGTGGGTAAACAAATTACGCGAGCGGCTAGACAGACACAGTGAGTCCGCGGAAAAGCCCCACCAGCGATGTTTACACATCATGCTATTCAGTATCCGCCATCTCTCCTCCTCCCCAATGCAGCTGCTTAACTGCTGCTGCTGCTACTGCTATTGCTACGTGCTGTTACTGCTGATATTGCTGCTGCTACTCTAGTACTACTGCTGCTGCTGCTACTGCTATTCTACTGCTGCTGCTACTGCGATATTGCTGCTGCTACCCTACTAGTACTACTGCTCTGCTGCTACTTGCGCTATTGCTACTGCTGCTGCTACTGCTGCTAATTGCTGCTGC